TAAAGAGCCGATTTTGAATATCCTAAAGAGCTAATTTGAGTCAATATAATATTTAGAATATGATTTCTTTAAAATTTTTAGTTATTGAGTATAATAGCATAAAACAAAATTATCAAACTCGCTCCTCTATCTATATAATATGAATAAACAACCCCGTAAATGAAAAAATAATTTTTGCATAATATACAAAATAGAAAATCATACTGATATTTTCTTTACAAATTTTTTAAATATATATATCATAATAGATAAAGATGCATTAAATGCAAATTACGTGAAGTGAATAAATTTATTCATCGTACATTTAAGTTTGTATTAAATTTTCCTTGTGGCAATTCTGGCCATTATAATAAAAAAAAAATAGTGAAGTCAATAATTTTTAGGTTGAACAAAGAATCAAAAGATTATTCTCTTTCCCTAAGTGATAATCGAGTGATTAATTAGCGTCATCATTGAAACATTTTATAAGCCCGACTTTTTTCAGAACCGACTTTAAATTCACACCGTATCCGAGTACTGGATCAGGCGTCTTAACGCTGCCTTTATTGTAAGTGCGATTTTCTCAAGTGACGCGAAATTAATTGCTAGCTGAATCGTCACAACTTTTGAAATATAGGCAAACAGCTGTTGCGATTTCAACATTTCGCTCCATATTAATAAATCGTTGGCCTAGATTTGCAATGCCCAACTTGACAGTTAAGAGTGGATTTTAATTGATTAATTTCCATTATATATATATAAACTAGATTTAAAATTATTAATTTCTGGCCACGTTAACGCACTGTCAATTTTGGGCTGATTTCGTAATTTTTGCTATATTATGCGCTATCTATGATATTACTATATTTAATAGTCACCCGCTGTGCACCTTTTTTAAATTTTATAAATGATAATTAAAATATGTATGGGAAAAAATTATCATTTAAATATTGGCACAATTTTTTATTTCTATCAGTCAATATTATATTATATAATTTGATGATTTATAGTAGTTACCTCCGTTTATTTTCCTTTTAATTAATAAATTCTCATAAATACAATTAAAATGGAGCAGCTTGAACAAAAAAATAATTAACAAAGTGTTTATTTTACTCCACTTGCATGTTGATTTTATCAAATAAAATTCTCACCTATAATTTGGAAATCTAATATATATAATCTCCACATAACACGATCGTTTTCGTATCTCCCTAATGAATTTTAAATTTAAGGAGACTATATAGTGTAATGTTAATTTTTTGCTCTCTGCGAGAACCGAACTAGAGCCTCCCGTTTCAAAGGCATATGCTTTACCGCATGCACCAACTTGAATATAAATAAATTTAAAATATTAATTTATATATATTAAAGTTTCACGCATGCACCAATTTGAACATAATTAAATTTAAAATATTAATTATATAGATGTTGAAGGGTAATTATTTAGTTTGTGTGTATGATATTAAATATACTTTATCAATAAATTTTATATAAATATTAAAATTTAAGAGTAAAAGAGGTAAAATTGTTGCAATGTATACTGTGAGCATGTATTAGAAAATATCAAAATTTAAAAATTTGATGGAAATCATATTGGATAAAATTTAAAATAGAGGTGCTTTAAGATAAGATTTTTGAATTTTGGGTTATAGATTGGTCTGAATTTTTTTTTGCAGACATAAGGCCTGATCAACCAAGGCCCATGCATCTTTCATATTCTGATTGTATTTTTAAATGCATTGTGACTTTTTATATATTATTTCACTCCTCTACTATCAAAATTATTATGGTCTTTTGCGGGTTTAAGAAAACCAAGTGCGAGGACCTGGCTTGGGAATTTTTTTAATATTAGGCGTAGGTGTAATATTTAACACAGAATATTTATATGGCCCTCAGGTAAAATCTAATTTAAATATATTTTTATTCAAAAAAATAGTATTCACTCTTAGTCTTAATGGGTTGGCCTTGGTTGGGGTGAGCTGGGTTAAAATAGACTAAAAAATAGATAAGGTTTTTAGAGATTAACCTATCTCCAGGCTTGAGAAAATTTTTAAAATTATTATGGGTTGGGTTGGGCTTGGGAAATATTTTTATAAATTATATTGGGCTGGGCTGGGGGAAAATTTTTCAAAATTATTATGAGCTTGGACGCTTGAGAATTTCTTTATTATTAATTATAGGTCAGACATTGGCCCAAAACAAATTTTTTTGCAGGCCTGGGCTTGACCTGATCAAAAAACTAAGGCCCATGAAAATCTGAATTTTGATTGTATTTTTAAATTCATTATGATTATTTAAATATTTTATTTCAGTTCTAAACTACCAAAATTATTATGATTTGGACTTGGAAGAATTTTTCATAATTAATATGGCTTTGGACTTTGCCTGGGATTTTTTTTAATAGTAAATATTAGGTATAAGTAATCAGTAATATTTAACAAATAATATTGGTATTATCAAGTAAATGCTTTAAATTTATTTTTACTCAAACCATAGCACTTAGTTTTAATGGATTAAACCTGGCCTGAAGGGATGAGGGGGTAAGAAGAATAAAAATTGGGTATTATATTCAAATAACAGGTAACATGCATAAAAGAAGAAAATTTTCATTACCCGTCATTTTTGACGGACTATCTACTAGTAGTATTATAAATTACCTCTCAATTTTTTTACTTATATTAATCTACAAGTTTTTCATATATTTGAATCTAAACTTTAAAACCGTTTTTCCCATTTACTAAAGTTATACCTAATTATGGCCTGCTTTTGTAAATTACGCAGCAATTAATACTTAGTATTTCTAAAAGTTTTTCGTAAGAATAGTGTTGTTAGATTTCTGAAAACGATTATCAATATTTTATGCAGAAGAACATTATGCAAGTCTGAATATTTTGGTCATATATGGCACACAGATTGGACATCTATTAACGAAATCTCGAGGTTTAGGCAATTTTTTTAGCTAAAATATTGAGTTAGCTATTTTTTAAAATCGGCTCAAATCTAATTTAGCCTTTTAACATCACTACATAGGAACCATCATTTTTTAAAACGTTCGACTGTGTTTATATGCACCTTATTTTTATTGGTTAGTAAAAATCAATAATTCTTTGATTTTAAGTGTTTAAATATCAAATGACCAAATTTTTTTTTAGTTCGAAGGCTAAATATCGAATTCATTAATTGATTGATCTTGATGGATTATTTAAAAAAGGTATAATAATATGCCACTCGAAAATAAATATTATAATTATTTATTAGATTGTAGATAAATTTGTGCATGGTAATGATAATGGTATGTATGATGGATAAAAGAGAGTGCAATGTTATACATCTGGAAAACAGGTGTAATGAATATTTTAAATGAAAATGTGAATTATAAACTTTATTGCCTTATTTTCAAAATTAAAAATGATTTTTTTAAAAAATAAATATCCTTACATCGAAACGGATCAGCATTGATATTTATGGGATCTGTAAAAAACGGGAAACATTACAATTTATGGTTGCTGTAAATAATTTCAAAAAAAAATAAGAATTAGTTCGTGTAGTCGTTCCTTGGCTAATATTTGCGTTCAAAATTTATTTGCCACAAAAGGAAGCATTTATATTTTAAAAAATACATTTAATATTTAACATAAATAAATGGATATTATAATCACCATGTTGGCCCGTATTTATATTTTTTTTGTAAAATATTATGTAATACTCAATGATGTATATATATAATAGAAACCTGCAGGCCTGGTCCGTGCCATATTTTTAATATACCCGGGCCAGGCCTAAAAAAAATTATTTTTAAAATACCCGGGCCCGGCCTAAAATTTTTGTTTAAAAAAATACCAGCGTATATTTTAAAACGCCATTATTAGCTATAAAAATTTTAAATGTAATATTAAAAAATCCGGGCCGGGCCTAAAAATAAAAAACCTGGGCAGAAAAATTTTTCTAAAAATATCTATTATTAATTTTTTTTTAAATTCTAAAAAAATTAAAATATATATGTTATTGATTTGATAATGATAATTTATCTTTTATCAATCCCATCTTTTAATACTATTGGTTGACAATAAGTTAAATATGTAATTTTTGGTAACAGGAGAAACCCTCGAAAATAAACCCCCTCTCCCCCTAAAAATATCAAATAAAAATAGTATTTTCATCGAAAATTGAAGAGTGATGGGTAATTATTAAGGATGCTATATTATAATAATATATGGGGGTTGACATTGAGTAAAGTAAGATGGAGGGTAAAGGATGATGTAAATGTGATCTTTATCACAGCTGTTTACTTTAAGAAAACGCAAAATACTTACGATAATATATTCGTAAAAATAATGTCAAATGTCAGCGTAATCAGATGATGCTTTTACAATTTGTATCAAGGTACCAAAAGTTCAGAATGTAGGCCTGGAAAGCCAATACAGAACCTATGAAACTCTAAGCTTTTTTATGTCATGATAGATGGCTTAGCTTTTGTTCCCTTATGTGATATGAATGACATTTCTGATATCGATTACTCCGAACAATGGTAAGGTTAATTATTTACAATGATTGTATCATTTTAAAAGGTAAGGGGGATGGGGTATTTTTTACTAGCTTAAATTATATTCACGAGAACAGGAAAATCTCCAAGTCCTCCCTGGGTTAACCCTTCACTACAAAGGTGGGGTAAATAATACCCCACGGCTTTTATAATCTTGGTAATAAAAAAACCTGAAGATATTTTGACCTAGTTTTTATAGTAGTTTAATATTTTCTTATAAAGAATATATCTACCAAATTTCAAGATAACTGATTTGATATTTTTTAAAATATTTGCAATTTGTTGAGCTTGGGGTAGTATAGGTCCCACCTTTGTACTTAAGTAATTTTTTTTTTCACAATTTTTTTTTATTGATAAATATTATTGTATATTACAAACTAATATATAAAATTGAAAAAAAAAATTTTATTTGTAAATTTTTCATTATTATATTGTTACTCAAAATTTTAAAATTTTATACTATTTTTTTTCTTGTGGAGCAAAATACTATAAAATTAGCATATGGAAAATTTAATATCATCAAGTTCTGGAAGTATTTTCTATTTAATATTTGATATTTATAAAATTTATATAGGTGAAGTAGATTTTGAGTCAGATGATGATTATTTGTATAACAGCAATCACAACTTGGAGACAGAGGAGGACAATATAGATAGTGATGTGTGTGAAGATAGCTATAAATATTGTTAAAGTAAAATATGCTAGTCTTTAATAAATTATATAAAAATATCAAGGTAAAGATGGAAAAACTAAATGGAATGCCCTACACAAAAAAGGACAAGATCCCATAATATAATATCATGTTTGCCAGGGGTTAAATCTCATGCAAAAAATGCAAAATCACCATTAGAAAGCCTCAAATTATTCATTTCACCTAATATTACATATTTAGTTTTAAAATATACAAATCAAAAGATTGAGTCCATTGAAAAAGATGACTCTGTTTATCATGCCAAAATGGATGAAAATGAATTGAATGCCTTAGTTGGTTTGCTAATGATAGCCGGAGTTTATAAATCCAGTCATCAAAATATAAGTGATTTATGGAATAAGGATGGATTTGGTGTTGATATATTTAGATATACTATGAATATAAATAGATTCCAATTTCTATTGAAAGTACTTAGATTTGATGATATGAATACAAGAAATACAAGGAAAGCACTTGATAAAGCCACACATATTAGAGAAATTTTTGATATTTTTAATGATAAATTCTTATTCTGTTGAACAATATGTTACTATTGATGAAATGCTTCCTGCATTCAAAGGAAAATGTCCATTTAGGCAATATATGCCAAATAAACCATCAAAATATGGTCTGAAAATATATGCTCTAGTTGATTCTAAAACTTTTTATACATTAAAAACAGAATTATATACTGGCAATCAGCCAGAAGGGCCATATAAATTGTCAAACAAGCCATTTGATGTAGTTGAAAGACTAATTCAACCAATTTCAAAAAGTAATAGAAATATTACAATGGACAATTGGTTTACTAGCTAGCTAATTATTTATTATCTTCACATTCCCTAACAATAGTAGGGACTATTAAAAAAATAAAAAGCAGTTACCTGCATTATTTTTTAATAAAAAAAGAGGAATATATTCAAGTTTATTTGGATTCAAAGAAAATACTACTATTGTTTCATATATACCAAAAAGGTATAAGAATGTAGTGTTGCTTTCAACACTACATTATGATAATAAAATTGATGTAACAACTGGTAAATTGTTAAAACCAGAAATTATAACTTTTTATAATTTAACCAAAGCAGGAGTTGATGTAGTGGATCAACTTTGCTCAATATATTCCATAACTTGGAGATCAAATAGATGGCCACTTACCATTTTTTATACTATGATAAATATTTCAATAATAAATGCCCTAATAGTTTATAAAGCCAATAATTTGTTGACTATAAAAAGGTCTAAATTTATAAAATTATTAGCTATGGAACTGATAACTCCATTTATGACCAGTAGATGCGAGAACCCTCGTATATGTAGACTATTACGTAACAACATAGGGGACATTCTCAACATAATTGATGAAAAACATATTCCAATAAATAAAAAGGAAAGATGTTATGAGTGTCCAAGGGTGAAAGATAAAAAAACAACATTAATTTGCTTAAGTTGTTCAAAATTTATTTGTAAAGATCATATGCATACAATTTACCGCGAATGTTATCTCAAAATTTTACATGATATTTGATGATTAATATTTTTTTTGATATATGATATATTTTTATAAAATTTATGTAATTATCATTATTCAACATTGATTTAATAAAATATTTAATAAAATTTGCATTTTTTGAATTTTATTTAGTGATAATACCATAATTAAAGGAAGTACTCAAAAAGAAAATTTTATTTCAGTAACTTTAGGAAAATTTGTCTAACTTTTTTTTGGAAGTAAATATTAATCTAAGATTTTGTATTTATTATCTCCAATATTTTTTAAATATATACTCAAAATTTTAGATTTCAATTTTTAATGTTCTGAGATATAGCTAATCAAAATTTGGGGTAAAATAGACCCCACCTTTGTAGTTAAGGGAGTTTTTCCCACCTTTGTAGTGAAGGGTTAAGGGCCATTTATTGGCTCCATGAAATATTAAAATATTTTAATCTAATCTATTTTCATATTTTATTTTAAAGAATTAAAACTGAAATAAAAATTGTAATTAGGCCCAGGCAAAGTTAATATATCAATCGAGTCCGAACTATCAGATATATCACTCTATAAATATATAATTTATATGCATAATAGAATATAAATCATATTAGAGCAAGATTGACATTAGTCAGAAAGAAAAGTGTGTTGAAAAATATTTTAAGGAAACAGCTTAGTAAGAAAATGTAATCTTTTATAAAAAAAATCGCTTTTTTTAAATAAAAAATTTTACTTTTTTTAAATTAATGTCAAATAAAATGAATAAGTATATTTTAATTCTTTTAGAATAAAAGGATACTTGTTCACCAAGTTTTATCAAAAAAAATGAATTTTATTCAAATAACGTGTTCATTTTAATGCTACACTACGATTTAGGTGTTTCCAAAATTTTTGGCATATTGAGCATGCTTATGTCTCTCCCTAATGATAACAATAGTAATTTAAATTCTTATCAAAATTAGTGGTCAAACTTAAATAATATCGAAATAATATCATTTTTATATTTATTTGTAAAATAATAATTTAAAATATAGTTTTTGATTTTGCTAAAGATAATCTAAATGATGGTAAAGAAAAACCATAGTGGTATACAACTGATTATTTATCTAACTTCTAATAGCTATCAAAGCCCTTAAAAACAATTTTGCTTTGTTTTTCAAATTATATCAATTAATAAGTTGAAAAATCATTATTAAGATAAGAAAATTGGCCTGTGAATATTTTTATGCTTTTTTATTCGAGCCTACAATATTTATAGCCCATACAAGTTGCCCACTGGTCTAAAATGTTTTAGCTGCCCATTAATTATTTTTTATGATGAAAAAATCTTAAATTGACACTTTTCAAGACATAAAAAGGAATTCAAATCTGACAATAAAATATATTAACAAAGCCAAAAATCTTTTTGGAAATTTCTAATACATTTAATGTATCATCCTACATGTATTAATGATGTTGATATTTTTAATTTTCTCGAAGAATTTATCCTGCAAAAAATAACAAAATTATAAAAATCTAAGCCAGATTGTGTTAAAAAATAAAAATTTCAAAATATTTTTGGACTGGTTTATAAATTTGACCTTTATGAGCAGGAATTTCTACTCTAGGAGGGAGCAGAAGGAAGATTGTATTTGAAATCAAAGGAGGGTAGGTTATAGTGTTGTTAAACAGCTTATTTTGAGTCAATTTTTTAAAATGTCTAACTCAATATTTTAGCCAGAAAAATATTGTCTAAGCCTCGAGATTTCGTTAATAGATGTTAAAACCTTTGTGCCACCTATGAGCAAAATCTTAAGGCTTCATAATATTTTTCCTAATAAAATATTGAGTTAACCTTTTTTAAAAATCGACTCAAAATGAGCCATTTAAGAACACTAGTAGGTTATGATGACTACCATCATTTAAATAATATTGGAAGAGGAGGAAGGGAGGGTATTTTTAATTTAGATTTTCATTTTTTGATAATTTTACTTTGGTAGACATGAGGATTAGCGATAGGGAGGGATGATAATATTTAAAAGGGGGTAGGGGTCAAAATTTTAAGTAATTGTTATTAGTTTAGGAGGGTGTGGAAGTCCTTTCTGATAATTTTTATTAAAAAATCAAATCAAAAAATATTAAATATAAAATTCAGATAACCTTTTTCAAATTACGAAAAAAACACTACATTTATTTGATATAAAATTTTGAAGATATTTAATAAATTCTCTTAAAACAATTAACAAAAGGTTTTAAATAATACCAAAATAAATAAAAATGACATTGAATTTGATCTCAAATCTTTATCCTTCCTATTTTATTTAATATAAAATATAAAGTGTTTAGATAATTATCAACAATAAAAAAAATGCACATTTTTTACATTACAATAAAGAAAAAAATAATGTTTTTATTATAGATTAAAGTTAAGAAATTTCAAAATTATATTGAATTATAATCTAAATAAAATAATTATTTAATAACATTCAAAGATGAGAATATAGAATGAATATAAATTATAATTCAAATATGTTATAAAATTAATATATATATAAACCTGTGCAAGGATTGCAGAAATATTTATCAAGAATAGAATATTATAAAGGTGCATGGCATCTTTGATTCATAGTTGAATATAAATTCATTGGGCGTTACAAACTCAAAACAATGCTCAAATGCCTTTTTACTTCACTAGGAAATAGGTGTTGCAAAGTTATTATAAAATATAATATGTACAAAAACTATATTTGTAGGTATTAATTTATATATTCTAAAATGTTTTGATAGAATATGTTTAAAAATAATTTTATTGAACATTTGTTACAATTTTATTTCTTGATATAGCAGGGAAATTATGTCATAAATAGCCATGTTTCAAGACTGGCTACCATTTAACTTTTTATCTAGTGCACCATTTAATCTCACAATTGGTAAAAATGTGCATATTTATGATATATACCTTAGCTAATGTATTTATTGATTAGCAATCCAAAAAAAATATATCTTAAATAAAGAGTTTTTTGTACCTCCTTCTAGAAAAATCATGCTATACATTTTTTTTATTTGGTAGAAAAATTACTAACTTATGGTTCTGTAAATATTTCTATGTTTATTGACAAAAATCGAACGCGTTCAAGTTCAGTTTCAAAAGAAGGAACGAGTTCGCGTTCGCTCAAAATTTTATAAATTTTTATAATAAATTAATTTTAATATAAAAAAATGCCATATATTTTCTAAAAGCCATGTTTAAAATTATAGTTTAAACGTCAATAAAAAATTATTTTTATTTATTAAAAAAAATTTCTTATTATTTTTTTAATATATAAAACTTTTATATATCATATAAAATTTAATTATTTATAAAATAGATAAATTCATAATACTTTAAAGAGGGTTTAACTATTTAAATATGAAAATCTTGATAACAACTTTACAATATAGCAAAATTTCAAATAATCACACTAAATTAAATAAATTAGAAAAAATATTAAATATTTTTTTAGGACACATTTTACATTAGGTAAGGATTAAATTTATTGAAAATCTGATATTTATCTAAAGTATTTATTTTCCTGAATTCAGAATCAGATATTATAATGAAATAACAACATCCATGCTTACGCTAATCTATAATTAATATTCAAATGAATAAACTAAATTATAGAATATAAATAGTCGCTGATTAAAATGAACCTTTTTTCTTTAAAAATTTGGATTAACATTTTTATTTTCAAATGAATAAAAATAAGATAATTTTCTAAAATTGAACGAAAGTAAAAATCAAATGCGTAAAAAAAGGTTAGGGTCCACCAGATCGTATGAACATTTATGAAAAAACGTCAAATGACCTAAAATGGCCACAAATATATTTGAAGCGATTTTAATATTTGTATAATTTTGAAATGATGTAACAGATTAGACAAATAAATTAAAATATACTTTTTATTTTAAATAAAATTAAATATAAATGTAAATTGCTAAATGGTAATTAATATAGATTATATACAATTAATATTATAATAATTGTATATAAAATATATGATCATATTTTATATTAATAATAGAAAAGAATATATTAAAAAATTTAATTAATTAAGATAATATATTATAAATTGCAGATAATTTACAATATTTTAGAAAACTCTTCTAGATCTATTAATATATAACAGACAGCATGATTATACTATAAATATATCTTTAAATCAGTGACGAAGCAAAATAAAAAAATTCTTATTTTTTTTATTATATTTTTTTTCCTTACTTAATTAATGTTTAATAATTGTAATTATGTTATTGAAAATTTATTATGATTATAAGAGTTGTATAAAAAGTATATGCATCTATATACTATTTCAAAGGTATCTGTTTATAGATACTTTTTAAGATACATTTTGATATACTTTTATTTAACGCCTTTTTATCTAAAAAATAAAAATATTTAGATGCAAATCTTATGTTATATGTATGAGCATATAATTTAAATAAATATATATTATAAAAATATTAAGACTAATATAATAAAAAAATATATATATAATATTAAAACTCATATATAGAAATTTTTTTCCCATTATCTATAGATATCAGTTCAAGATTTGAAGGATATTCTTATCATGCAAAGGAATTTATAAGTCCTTGCTTAGACATGACGCCTATTAATTATAAACAATACCCAGAGTTGGGCAGGTCATCCGGAAAAAGAATCTAGATACAGATTCTTTGTGAAAAAATGAATCTTAGATATAGATACTAATATCTTTTTCAAAATATCAAAAAGATACAAGATAAAAGATACTTGTATCTTTTATACTTCTAAGTTATCATTACCAATTAAATTAGAATAGTTTGTAAAATACAGTTTTTATTATTTATTTGTGAAGAACATAACATTCATATAATAAGAATGAATATTTACAATTACTAAAATATTTAATGATGAGTTGATTATAATAATCAGGTATTTTAATATTAGTATTAGCCCATTCTTAGCATAGATGAAGGGAGACTAGTATTTTTAATGGGAGTTGAAATATTAATTTGCAAAAGAGTATTTAAAATAAATTCATTATTTTATAAGATAATCAAATTTTTCAAATATTTATAATTGGACTTTTGCCGTTTCGGCATACTTAACATTGTGCCAAAACTAAATAACCTTTCAATTGGAGCTGATGAAGGTATTGCAGTATTATATTTATAAAAAATTTCCCATTATATTCAAATCATACTTATTAAAAATTTCAAAAAGATACTGAGTACAAGATAAAAATATTTTTGACTTCGATTGAAAAAAAGTTATTAAAAAATTTAAAATCTAGCAATAACTATTATAATTCTGTGTTTGATCATTTTACTCAAAAACAAAAAATACTTATTTATATATTTTAATCTTTTTATGGTTTGACTAAAAATAAAAATTCTATTGCTTCCCTAGTAGTGAATTTGACGCTTCGTCACTGCTTTGAAACTATATAAATATTGAAGTTTATCATAAGTACTCTAAAATTTAAGTGGCACGCTTTTACCTGGTAAGAAAATTCAACTTATTTAAGAATGAACATAAAGTAGTAATAATAATTTTAGGGATTTATTTATTATTTATGTCATAAAAAATTTTAAATATATAATATATATTTTGTAAACAATATTAAAAATAATATATTTCCATTGCGATTATAATAAGTTAACATATTAGTATAGCGCTATATAAATATGATTAAAACATGGTATGGAAATTTATTAAAAATGGTTTAGTGCGTGTTAACTATATAAATAAAATGTCGATGACGAAACAATATGATAAGGTATATGTAAAAAAAAAATTAAAAACTATAAATTTTGAAAATGACGTATACCACCTCTGTCAAACCCGACTATAAATACTCGGATTAATAGTAATGTTATCCTTTATTGACAATATAAAACAATATAGTTAGACAATGGCAGAAAAATTAGAGTGATTTGATTTTTTTGAATATAAAAATTTTGATATTTTCTCCAAATATTCTATAGGGGTAAAAAAACCTCCACAGTATAGTATTATATTTTCCTTAATTTTATCGTCTAATATACAATATTTTTTTTTTCTTTCCGTAACCTTTCTGCCATCATCTAATTGGATTAATTTCAAGTTCATATCTTGTTCTATAATTTTTATGGTGTCAATAAAGAGATAAATATTAGGATGCGAATAAGGAATGTATTCCCTTAATGAACGATGAAACCCTTCCACATGGTTATTCGTCCTCACGCCCCTAATATCAAATGTATTCCACATTTGATATTTAAATTTTGCATTAAAATTAATCCAAGTATTTTCAAAATAGTTTAAAAAATCATGTATTGAATTTATTCTAAAAACTTCAGCTTGTCGCCGAAGATCGTTAATTAAAAATTGCACATCCCTTTCTAACAAAAAAGGAATGGCCATTATAATTCGAAAAATTTTTTTTATTTCAATATTTTGTCTAAATAGTTGGGTTAGATGACTATCTTGAATGCGCCTAATAACGCACTGACAGAAGTGGAAATAACAGCCCTTAACTATAATAGTGCGAAAAACAGCTTTAAGGGCTAAGTATACGCCAATTTCAAAATCAATAGTGGCAAAACGGGGGGAAAAAAATAACCCTAAAGATAAACAATGATTTTTTAATAATAAAAACATATTTAAATAAGTATTTTTATATTTATCTGGCAATAAAATATATGCACAAATAATTAAAGTATGATTAATTAAAATAGAGATAGTATAAAATTGTTTAAATAATTTAGGAGAGGCATTAAAAGTACCGTCTAAAAAAATTTTTTCAGCCAAACATAGGCGTGATAAAAGTTTATAAGTTGTAAAAATAAATATTTTATTATCTTCACTATTAAAAAATAAAAACTGTCTCCGATCAATTGTTAATTTGTGTTCATCATGTAAAATAATACTGGAATTATTTATAGGGAATGAAGGTCTAGTTGACTGAACAACTCGACCCATTATAGATTTCACCGCTAAAAATGTTGGCAAAGTCTTTGGATGATTTATACAATATAAATCTAATTTTCTTGTCCTCATGACTTTTTGATAAATTTTTAGAATACTCAAATGAGTATGTATATTTATTTGGTCTTTTAGAAGATTTATTGTTACAAGAAAGTGGTAATACTCCTTGTCATCGAGGTGGTTATGTGTTTGGGTCACAGTAAAATGTGACCCAAATTAACCCCTACCCTTACAAGTATTCTTTCGGCATTTGTAATATAGGTCGCCGAAATCATGGCTGTATAAATATTTGTTATAATATATCATTTTTTTGTTGTTTTTTGATGTTATAAAACTATATTGATTGTTTAGAATGATAGCTATGTTTAAAAATGATATAAATATCTATAAGATACTATTTACTTGGACTATTGATAATTCTGTTATGGGCATCTATTTCTTCCATTACCTCTGGGTTCATAACTTTGTTAAAAAATTGATGGCACAAATATATAATTGAAATTTACTTGGACTATTTGTGATGTCCAAAACTTGTAGATTAAGAGCTTTAAAAAATTATTGTAAATATATATATGATATTTTACTTTGGCATTCTGCAGTGCATACATTTGATGCTATAATATAAATACACATGATTCAGTAATTAAGTTTTTAATTTTTTATACTTGGTGAAAATAATG